GGCACTTCCTGGTTGTGTCCCGTGGGATCATGGGTGATGTAGTCTCTGTCTCTGTCACAGGTGGATAAAGTGGGAGTGGTTTCTGGCTCTCTGTTCCTCGTGCACGCCCGCCCTCTCGTGCACGCCCCTCTCCATGTGCACAGCTCTCTCGTGCACGCCTCTGTCCACGTGCACGGCTCTCTCGTGCACGGCCCTGTGCTCCACGTGCACCGTTCTGTCGTGCACGCTCTTGTGGAACTCTTCTCTGAGTCGGTCTCTGGGTTCTTTAGGTCCGAGCTGCTGCAGGCGCACGTGCTCCTGTCTCTTCACGTGCGCGACCTCCGACCCCCTGCCCGCGACCCCGTCCGCCCCCCGCCCCATCACCCCCTCTGCCCCCCTCGCCGGCGCCCCCTGCTGGCTCCTGAAGTGCCCCTCGTCCGCCGCCCTCCCAGACCCGCCGGCGCCATCCTCCCTCCCGCTCCGTGCGCTTTCTTCTCGCCTGCATTAGCTCCGCCCCTCTGACCTCTGACTCCGCCCCCCTCCCCAGCGCCCCCTGTTGGCCTCTGAAGTGCCCCTCCTCCGCCCCCTGCACCCCCCTCCCTCCGGTCTCCTCCCAAACACGCCCTCCAGGCCCCTCTCCAGCGCCCCCTGCAGCTGCCTCACGTGCGCGCTCTCCTCCGGCCCCGCCCCCTGACCTCCGCCCCCACCCCCACTCCCTCTGTCTCCCTGGCGACGTCGGCGGCGCCCTGTCCCCCTCTGGGCGGCTCTGGCCCCGGCGCCCCCTGGTGGCCCCTCATGTGGATGTTGAGGGAGCGTTTGGCCTGGAAGCTCTTGTTGCAGATGGAGCAGACGTACGGCTTCTCTCCAGAGTGAACCAGGATGTGACGCTTCAGGTCCACGTGCTGCATGAAGCCCTTCCCGCACACCTGCCGCACGGAAACACACGGAAACACATGGAAACACACGGTCAGATATAACCTGAGACACACGGAAACACACGGAAACACACGGAAACACACGGAAACACACGGTCAGATACAACCTGAGACACACGGAAACACACGGAAACACACGGAAACACACGGAAACACACGGAAACACACGGTCAGCGATATAACCTGAGACACACGGAAACACACGGAAACACATGGGTATAACAGTCAAATAAACCAAAAGGTGTATCTGGTCGTGGTTGTGGTCGTGGTTCTGGTCGTGGTTCTGGTCGTAGTTCTGGTCGTGGTTCTGTCGTGGTTGTGGTCGTAGTTCTGGTTCTGGTCATGGTTCTGGTTGTAGTCGTGGTTGTGGTTCTGGTTGTGGTCGTAGTTCTGGTTCTGGTTACCTGGCAGAGGTAGGAGCGTTCCTTCAGGTGGAAGCGCACGTGCACGTGGAGCGTCTGTTTCTGGGTGAAGCCCCGCCCACACAGGTGACAGGTGAAGGCACGTTCTCCGGAGTGGATCTTCAGGTGAGTCTTCAGGTTCCCGCCCTGGTTAAAGGTTTTTCCACAGATGGAGCAGCTGTACGGCCTCTCGCCCGTGTGGACGCGCTCGTGCATCAAGAGCGACGCGTGCGCCGGGAAACGCTTCCCTGGAACACACACAGATGAGGAACGTTAGAACGTGTGTGGAACATCTGACCACACAGGGACAAGGAACATTAGAACATCTGACCACACAAAGATACAGAGGTGTGTAGAACACATGTGGACCATGTGCAGAACATGTGTGGAACCTTAAAGAACATGTGTGAAACACGTGTGTGGAACATTGTAGAACGTGTGTGGAACATGTGTAAAATGTGTGTAGAACGTGTGTAGAACACGTGTGTAGAACATGCGTAAAACGTGTGTAGAACATGTGTAGAACATGTGGAGAACACGTGTGTAGAACACGTGTGTAGAACATGTGTAGAACACGTGTGTAGAACATGTGTAGAACGTGTGTAGAACATGTGTAGAACATGTGGAGAACACGTGTGTAGAACATGTGTGTGTAGAACGTGTGTAGAACATGTGTAGAACACGTGTGTAGAACATGTGTAGAACGTGTGTGTAGAACGTGTGTAGAACATGTGTAGAACACGTGTGTAGAACATGTGTAGAAACATGTGTAGAACATGTGTAGAACACGTGTGTAGAACATGTGTAGAACACGTGTGTAGAACATGTGTGTAGAACACGTGTGTGTAGAACATGTGTGTAGAACACGTGTGTAGAACGTGTGTAGAACATGTGTAGAACACGTGTGTAGAACACGTGTGTAGAACGTGTGTAGAACATGTGTAGAACACGTGTGTAGAACATGTGTAGAACATGTGTGTAGAACGTGTGTAGAACATGTGTAGTACACGTGTGTAGAACATGTGTGTGTGTAGAACATGTGTAGACACGTGTGTAGAACATGTGTAGAATGTGTGTAGAACATGTGTAGAACATGTGTGTAGAACACGTGTGTAGAACACGTGTGTAGAACGTGTGTAGAACACGTGTGTAGAACACGTGTGTAGAACATGTGTAGAACATGTGTAGAACGTTGTGTAGAACGTGTGTAGAACATGTGTAGAAAATGTGTAGAACGTGTGTAGAATGTGTGTGGAATGTGTGTAGAACACGTGTGTAGAACACGTGTGTAGAACACGTGTGTAGAACATGTGTAGTAGAACACGTGTGTAGAGCATATGTAGAGCATGTGTAGAACATGTGTGTAGAACATGTGTAGTAGAACACGTGTGTAGAACACGTGTGTACAGCATGTGTAGAACACATATGTAGAACGTGTGTAGAACATGTGTAGAACACGTGTGTAGAACATGTGTAGAACCTGTGTAGAACGTGTGTAGAACGTGTGTAGAACGTGTGTAGAACGTGTGTAGAACTCGTGTGTAGAACATGCATAAAACGTGTGTAGAACACGTGTGTAGAACGTGTGTAGAACACGTGTGTAGAACAAGAACATGTGTAGAACACGTGTGTAGAACACGTGTGTAGACGTGTGTAAACATGTGTAGAACACGTGTGTAGAACATGTGTAGAACGTGTGTAGAACAGAACATGTGTAGAACACGTGTGTAGAACGTGTGTAGAACATGTGTAGAACACGTGTGTAGAACGTGTGTAGAACATGTGTAGAACATGTGTGTGTGTAGAACATGTGTAGAATGTGTGTAGAACATATGTGGAACGTGTGTAGAACATGTGTAGAACACGTGTGTAGAACACGTGTGTAGAACATGTGTAGAACACGTGTGTAGAACATGTGTAGAACGTGTGTAGAACATGTGTAGAACACGTGTGTAGAACATGTGTGTAGAACATGTGTAGAATGTGTGTAGAACACGTGTGTAACGTGTGTAGAACATGTGTAGAAACATGTGTGTGTGTAGAACACGTGTGTAGAACACGTGTGTAGAACACGTGTGTAGAACATGTGTAGAACATGTGTAGAACACGTGTGTAGAAACATGTGTAGAACATGTGTAGAACGTGTGTAGAACGTGTGTAGAACATGTGTAGAAACAACATGTGTAGAACGTGTGTAGAACGTGTGTAGAACATGTGTGTGTGTAGAACACGTGTGTGTAAACATGTGTAGTGTGTGTAGAAACATGTGTGTAGAACACACAGTGTGTAGAACACGTGTGTAGAACAGTGTGTAACATGTGTAGAAGCAGTGTGTAGAACATGTGTGTGTGTGTAGAACGTGTGTGTGTGTAGAACACGTGTGTAGAACAGTGTAGTGTGTAGAACACGTGTGTAGAAGAACGTGTGTAGAACATGTGTAGAACACGTGTGTAGAACATGTGTGTAGAACACGTGTGTAGAACACGTGTGTAGAACACGTGTGTAGAACATGTGTAGAACACATGTGTAGAACGTGTGTAGAACGTGTGTAGAACACGTGTGTAGAACGTGTGTGGAACGTGTGTGGAACGTGTGTAGAACACGTGTGTAGAACACGTGTGTGTAGAACACGTGTGTAGAACGTGTGTAGAACACGTGTGTAGAACACGTGTGTAGAACACGTGTGTAGAACACGTGTGTAGAACACGTGTGTAGAACATGTGTAGAACATGTGTAGAACACGTGTGTGTGTGTAGAACAACGTGTGTAACATGTGTAGAACACTGTGTGTGTAGAACGTGTGTAGAACACGTGTGTAGAGCATGTGTGTAGAACATGTGTTGTGTAGAACACGTGTGTGTGTGTAGAACGTGTGTAGAACACGTGTGTGTGTGTAGAACACGTGTGTAGAACATGTGTACGTGTGTAGAACACGTGTGTAGAACATGTGTTGTGTAGAACACGTGTGTAGAACTGTGTGTAGTAGAACATGTGTGTGTGTAAACACGTGTGTAGAACACGTGTGTAGAACACGTGTGTAGAACATGTGTGTAGAACACGTGTGTAGAATGGTGTGTAGAAACACGTGTGTAGAACATGTGTAGAACACATGTAGAACGTGTGTAGAACATGTGTAGAACATGTGTGTGTAGAACATGTGTAGAACACGTGTGTAGAACATGTGTAGAGCATGTGTAGAACACGTGTGTAGAACACGTGTGTAGAACATGTGTAGAACACGTGTGTAGAACATGTGTAGAGCATGTGTAGAACACGTGTGTAGAACACGTGTGTAGAACATGTGTAGAACACGTGTGTAGAACACGTGTGTAGAACATGTGTAGAACACGTGTGTAGAACACGTGTGTAGAACATGTGTAGAACACGTGTGTAGAACGTGTGTAGAACATGTGTAGAACGTGTGTAGAAACGTGTGTAGAACATGTGTAGAACACGTGTGTAGAACATGTGTAGAACACGTGTGTAGAACGTGTGTAGAACATGTGTAGAACACGTGTGTAGAACACGTGTGTAGAACGTGTGTAGAACACGTGTGTAGAACACGTGTGTAGAACACGTGTGTTAGAACACGTGTGTAGAACACATGTGTAGAACAGTGTGTGTAGAACATGTGTGTGTGTAGAACACGTGTGTACATGTGTGAGAACATGTGTAGAACACGTGTGTAGAACGTGTGTAGAACATGTGTAGAACACGTGTGTAGAACACGTGTGTGTAGAACACGTGTGTAGAACATGTGTAGAACATGTGTGTAGAACACGTGTGTAGAACATGTGTAGAACACGTGTGTAGAACATGTGTAGAACACGTGTGTAGAACATGTGTGTAGAACATGTGTAGAACACGTGTGTAGAACACGTGTGTAGAGCATATGTAGAGCATGTGTAGAACACGTGTGTAGAACATGTGTGTAGAACATGTGTAGAACACGTGTGTAGAACACGTGTGTAGAACATGTGTGTGTAAACACTGTGTAGAACATGTGTAGAACACGTGTGTAGAACATGTGTAGAACACACGTGTGTAGAACGTGTGTAGAACATGTGTGTAGAACACGTGTGTAGAACACGTGTGTAGAACACGTGTGTAGAACATGTGTAGAACATGTGTGTAGAACACGTGTGTAGAACGTGTGTAGAACACGTGTGTGTGTGTAGTAAACACGTGTGTAGAACACGTGTGTAGAACACGTGTGTAGAACATGTGTGTAGAACACGTGTGTGTGTGTGTAGTAAACGTGTGTAGAACACGTGTGTAGAACACGTGTGTAGAACATGTAGAACACGTGTGTAGAACACGTGTGTAGAGCATGTGTAGAACACGTGTGTAGAACATGTGTAGAATGTGTGTAGAACATGTGTAGAACACGTGTGTAGAACATGTGTAGAACACGTGTGTAGAACGTGTGTGTAGAACACGTGTGTAGAACACACGTGTAGAACATGTGTAGAACACGTGTGTAGAACACGTGTGTAGAACACGTGTGTAGAACATGTGTAGAACACGTGTGTAGAACACGTGTGTAGAACACATGTGTAGAACACGTGTGTAAACATGTGTAGAACATGTAGAACGTGTGTAGAACACATGTGTAGAACACGTGTAGAACATGTGTAGAACACGTGTGTAGAACACATGTGTAGAACATGTAGAACACGTGTGTAGAACGTGTGTAGAACACGTGTGTAGAACACGTGTGTAGAGCATGTGTAGAACACGTGTGTAGAACATGTGTAGAACACGTGTGTAGAACATGTGTAGAACACGTGTGTAGAACATGTGTGTAGAACACGTGTGTAGAACACGTGTGTCGAACACGTGTGTAGAACACGTGTAGAACATGTGTAGAACACGTGTGTAGAACATGTGTAGAACACGTGTAGAACATGTGTAGAACACGTGTGTAGAACACATGTGTAGAACACGTGTGTAGAACACGTGTGTAGAGCATGTGTAGAACACGTGTGTAGAACATGTGTAGAACACGTGTGTAGAACATGTGTAGAACACGTGTGTAGAACATGTGTGTAGAACACGTGTGTAGAACACGTGTGTAGAACACGTGTGTCGAACACGTGTGTAGAACACGTGTGTCGAACCAGTGTGTAGAACACGTGTGTCGAACACGTGTGTAGAACACGTGTGTCGAACACGTGTGTAGAACACGTGTGTCGAACACGTGTGTAGAACACGTGTGTAGAACACGTGTGTAGAGCATGTGTAGAACACATGTGTAGAACATGTGTAGAACACGTGTGTAGAACACGTGTGTAGAACACGTTTACCGCAGACGGAGCAGGAGAAGCGGTTGTCGTCGTAGTGTTCCCGCAGATGATCCGTGAGCGCCGCCTCCGTGTCACATGACCTCCCACACAGACCGCACACGCCGCCGTCGCCGTGGAAACACATGACGTGCTTCACCAGCGCCATCTTCCTGTGGAACTCTGCGCCGCACACACGACACACACCCCCCCCTTTACTCTTCCTCTTCTGCACGCCCTCAGACGACGAAGACTTCTGCAGCACACACAGGACAAACACACACTGCTTTAGTCCTGGTTCAGTCCTGCTTCAGTCCTGGGTTAGTTCTGGTTTAGTCCTGGTTCAGTCCTGGTTCAGTCCTGGTTCAGTCCTGGTTCAGTCCTGGTTCAGTCCTAGTTTAGTCCTGGTTCAGTCCTGCTTCAGTCCTAGTTTAGTCCTGGTTCAGTCCTGCTTCAGTCCTAGTTTAGTCCTGGTTCAGTCCTGGTTCAGTCCTGGTTCAGTCCTGGTTCAGTCCTGGTTTAGTCCTGGTTTAGTTCTGGTCTTTCTCACCTGTTCTGCAGTTTTCCTCTTGGCTCTTGGTTTGGTTTCTGGTTTTCGTTTCTTTCGTTTTTTCCGTGGTTTCGTTTCGGTCTCAGAGTCGTCTTCGGGTTCGGCCACGACCCATTCATCATCCTTGTCTCCTACCTCCTTGTCTCCTACCTCCTTGTCTCCTTTCTCGTCTCCTCTCTCCTCGTGGCTGTCGGGGCTTTGACTGTTCGATGTGTCCAGGTACTAAACAGGAAAGATAGAAAAGATAATACTCCCTACGACTGTACAACTCATCCTTATGTGACAGACAATACTCCCTACGACTGTACAACTCACCCTTATGTGACAGACAATACTCCCTACAACTGTACAACTCACCCTTATGTGACAGATAATACTCCCTACAACTGTACAACTCCCCCTTATGTGACAGATAATACTCCCTACAACTGTACAACTCCCCCTTAGGTGACAGATAATACTCCCTACGACTGTACAGTTGATTAGTGATTTGGATTCTTGGACTCTTGCTCCAGTTCTAAATCTAACCCTGTTGTGTTCCTCACCAGGTAGTCTGTGTGCGCTCTGCTGTGATTGGCCGCCTGCTCCCCTCCTTCTCCCTGATTGGTGGCGTCGCTGCGGTGGCTCCTCAGGTGTCTCCAGAGGGTGGTCACGTGACTGAAGTGGGCGGAGCACAGGTGACAGGTGAAGGTCTCGACTTTGGGGCTCTGTTTTCGCTCCATCTTAAATCCGGGTTTTCGGCCGCGTTTCCTCTGGCTTTTCTGAGACGAGTCCCGGTTTTCTGTGAAGACAAAGACCAGACGCAGCTTAAACTAGAAATGTTCTCCCTCAGACATGTTCTCCAAACTGTTCTCCTCAGACCTGTTCTCCAAACTGTTCTCCTCAGACCTGTTGTCCAAACTGTTCTCCTCAGACCTGTTGTCCAAACTGTTCTCCTCAGACCTGTTGTCCAAACTGTTCTCCTCAGACCTGTTCTCCAAACTGTTCTCCTCAGACCTGTTGTCCAAACTGTTCTCCTCACCTGTGTGCTAATCACCTGTGTGCTCCTCACCTGTGTGTTCGGGCTCTGGCTGCGGCTCCTGTGTTCTTCTCTCCTCCTCGGGTTTTGTAGATTCCGTTGGTTCTGTTGGTTCCGTTGGTTCCGTTGGTTCTGTTTTCTCGGTGGACTGGAGCAGCGTGTCCAGGAGCTTCCTCTGCCGCTGGAGCTCGCCGTGCAGCTCGGCCTGGACCTTCTCCACGGCCCGCTGGAAGATCTCCATCAGGTCCTGCGCCGCCGCCTCCAGCCTCCAGCCCAGCACCGCCCGCAGCGTGGCGTCCAGGGCGGGGTGGGCCGGGCTCAGAACCGCCTGGAGCCGAACCAGCACGGACTCACGCAGCGCATCCATCTGCCCCCGGGCCGAACCGACACGCAGCGGGGAACCGGAGATCCAGAACCGAGCCTTCACAGGTCCAAACCCGGGTCCAAACCAGGCTGAAGAACCGAGCCTTCACAGGTCCAAACCCGGGTCCAAACCAGACTGAAGAACCGAGCCTTCACAGGTCCAAACCCAGGTCCAACCCGGGTGGCGACCGGACTCAAAAACCGAGCTTTTACAGGTCCAAACTCGAGTCCAAACCAGGTCCAGGAGCGTTTATCTTCGGTCCAAACCCAGGTCCAAACCCAGGTCCAAACCCGGACTATCGGACCGAGCCTCCCGAGCCTCAGAGCTGCATCTGTGCGCTTCGGTTTTGGGTCAGACCGCGTGAAAAGTGCGGGGACGGTTTGATGTTTGCAGCCGAAGCGCGTGTGACTGCGGGAAACGCGTGAGTCTGAGGTTCGAGGGATTTGTTCAGATTCTGATCAGTGAATGGAAGTAAACAAAGCCAGTTCCGTTCGGGGGGTTCGCTCCGCGGTGAGAAACAGCGGCGCTCGGAGGGACGGAGGAGCAACACACCGAGACAAATAAACTCTCTGTGACATTTCACTCTTTATTCAAAGAAATACATGTAAATAATCATATTTAATATCATTATCCATGTTGTGTGGAGCTGATATGTGCGTTTAAAAACATTATTTTGGGAAACTGTGAGGCTCGGACTTGATTGACAGGCGCTCGGGCCAATCACAGCGTTACAATTACATCACCGCCTGCTGCTCTCAGCCAATCAGAGAGCAGCATTCCGGTGCTTGTCCTTTCACAGTTCGCGGCATTTCACAACACAGAACAGGAAATCAGCGGAATCCTTCAAAATAATGGCTTCAAATGCTCAAAAAAAAGGTTTATTTTCGGCTCATTAAAATGTGTAAATGTTGTAATTATTATTTTAATCAGCTAAAAGTGATACACTTATTACATTTAATATTTTAAAAAATGGTTTAGCCTCAGTGCGGGTCTTTTCCACCTTTGCTCTGAAGCTCCCCGGGGGAAGTGCGTGTGTCTCGGTGTAGTTCGGTGCTGGTTGTCGGTCCTGGTCCTGGTCCTGGTCCTCTCCTCCCGGTGTCCGCCACTCTCCTCCCGTGATTCGGCCGGTCGCGCCCCGGTTCGGCTCGGTTCTGGTCGGTTCTGGTCGGTCATGGCGCTTCTCGTCCTCCATCTTGGCTTCTTGTTGTTGTTGAGTTTTCCCGCCGCGGGGCGCGCGCGCAGGGACGTGCTGGAGCTCGCGGACGCGGACTTCGATTACCTGGCAACGGAGCACGAGACCATGCTCGTCAAATTCTACGCTCCATGGTAACGGCGCAAAGGGAGAGGCGCAAAGGGAGGTGCAAAGGGAAGCGCAAAGGGAGGTGCAAAGGGAAACGCAAAGAGAGGTGCAAAGGGAGGTGCAAGGAGAGGTGCAAAGGGAAACGCAAGGAGAGGTGCAAAGGGAGGTGCAAAGAGAGGTGCAAAGGGAAACGCAAGGAGAGGTGCAAAGGGAGGTGCAAGGAGAGGTGCAAAGGGAAACGCAAGGAGAGGTGCAAAGGGAAGCGCAAAGGGAGAGTTGCAAAGGGAAATGTAAAGAGAGGTGCAAAGGGAAGCGCAAAGAGGGAGGCGCAAAGGAGGGCCAAAAGAGGTGTAAAGGGAGGCGCATAAAGAGGCAGAAAGAAATTGAGAATTGTGAAATCTGTGTTTGTAAATAGAGGTTCTGCAGATGACACCACAACCTTTGGAATTTTATTAGAATGTCCCGTCATAAACCTGGTTTAGACCTGGTTTAGACCTGAAATAGTCCTGTGTGGAATGTTCAGTGTTTTGTTTTGTTTTGTTTCAGTTTCAGTTTCAGTGCTTGGTGTGTTTCAGGTGTGGTCACTGTAAAAAACTCGCCCCAGATTTTGAAAAAGCTGCAACAAAACTGAAGGGAACTGTTCAACTGGCCAAGGTAAAAATACTACAGTAACATAATACTACTACAGTACTACTACAGTACTGCAGTAATATAATACTACTACAGTACTACTACAGTACTACAGTAACATAATACTTCTACAGTACTACTACAGTACTACAGTAACATAATACTTCTACAGTACTACTACAGTACTACAGTAACATAATACTACTACAGTACTACTACAGTACTACAGTAACATGATACTACTACAGTACTACTACAGTAATATAATACTACTACAGTACTACTACAGTACTACAGTAACATAATACTACTACAGTACTACTACAGTACTACAGTAACATGATACTACTACAGTACTACTACAGTACTACAGTAACATGATACTACTACAGTACTACTACAGTAACATGATACTACTACAGTACTACTACAGTACTACAGTAACTACAGTACTACAGTAATATAATACTACTACAGTACTACTACAATACTACAGTAATATAATACTACTAAAGTACTACTACAGTACTACAGTAACATGATACTACTACAGTACTACTACAGTACTACTACAGTACTACAGTAACATGATACTACTACAGTACTACTACAGTACTACAGTAACATGATACTACTACAGTACTACTACAGTACTACTACAGTACTACAGTAACATGATACTACTACAGTACTACTACAGTACTACAGTAATATGATACTACTACAGTACTACTACAGTACTACAGTAACATGATACTACTACAGTGACAGTGCTACTGCATCAGTACATACTTATATGTACGACTATACACATGTTTTCAGTTAATTGTGTGTGTGAAAGTTATTGTGTGTGATTTAAGGTGGACTGGTGTTATTGTTGTGTGTGATTTAAGGTGGACTGGTGTTATTGTTGTGTGTGATTTAAGGTGGACTGGTGTTATTGTTGTGTGTGATTTATGGTGGACTGGTGTTATTGTTGTGTGTGATTTAAGGTGGACTGGTGTTGTTGTGTGTGATTTAAGGTGGACTGGTGTTGTTGTGTGTGATTTAAGGTGGACTGGTGTTATTATTGTATGATTTAAGGTGGACTGCACAGCTAACAGTGAGCTGTGTGCGCGGTTCGGAGTGACCGGATATCCGACTCTGAAGATCTTCAGGAACGGGAGGGACGCGGGCCCCTACGACGGGCCCCGCTCTGCAGGTACTCACAGCGGGGGGTTAAAGCTGCACTGTGGAACCTTTCACATGGAGGGTCTGACATGTGCTCATGTTCAGTGAAACACCGTGAATCACACAGAAACACCGTGAAACTGAATCGTGTTTGACTGAGTTTTGTGTTTTTGTTGCAGACGGGATCGTCCAGGTCATGAAGAAACAGTCTGGACCTGACTCGGTTCTGCTCAGGTCCAAGTCCGACCTGGAGCACTTTGTCAATCATTACGAGGCCAGTATCGTAGGTCAGAACCAACAGAACCCTTCACAATAAAAGCCTTTTCAGTATCAGAACCCTTCACAATATAAACACACAGACACAGACAGGGACGAGACCAGAGCCAGGTCCTAGTTCTGACTTGGTTCTGACCCGGTGTGTGTTGTGTGGTTCTGGTTCTGGTTGTGCCCAGGTGCGTGTGGTTCTGGTTCTGGTTCTGGTTGTGACCCGGTGTGTGTGGTTCTGGTTCTGGCCCGGTGTGTGTGGTTCTGGTTCTGGTTCTGGTTGTGACCCGGTGTGTGTGGTTCTGGTTCTGGTTGTGACCCGGTGTGTGTGGTTCTGGTTCTGGTTGTGACCCGGTGTGTGGGGTTCTGGTTCTGGTCCTGACCCGGTGTGTGTTGTGTAGTTCTGGTTCTGGTCGTGACCCGGTGTGTGTTGTGTGGTTCTGGTTCTGGTTGTGACCCGGTGTGTGGGGTTCTGGTTCTGGTTCTGACCCGGTGTGTGTTGTGTAGTTCTGGTTCTGGTCGTGACCCGGTGTGTGTTGTGTGGTTCTGGTTCTGGTGTGACCCGGTGTGTGTTGTGTGGTTCTGGTTCTGGTTGTGACCCGGTGTGTGTTGTGTGGTTCTGGTTCTGGTTGTGACCCGGTGTGTGTTGTGTGGTTCTGGTTCTGGTTGTGACCCGGTGTGTGTTGTGTGGTTCTGGTTCTGGTTGTGACCCGGTGTGTGTTCCAGGCCTGTTCTCCGAGGACTCGTCGAGTCGCTCTGAGTTCCTTAAAGCCGCGTCGTTGCTTCGGGATCAGTTCAGATTCGCTCACAGCTCCGACCTGAGTCTGGGCCGAGACCACAACGCCACGGGAGAGTGAGTCACATGACCTCCTGTCCTGTACACACGTGTGTCAGGGCCCCCGGTCCTGTACACACGTGTGGCAGGTCCCCCCGTCCTGTACACACGTGTGTCAGGTCCCCCGCCGTCCTGTACACACGTGTGACACGTCCACCCCGTCCTGTACACATGTGTGACAGGTCTCCCCCCCCCCGTCCTGTACACACGTGTGACAGGTCCACCCCGTCCTGTGCACACGTGTGTCAGGTCCCCCCGTCCTGTACACACGTGTGTCAGGTCCCCCCCGTCCTGTACACACGTGTGTCAGGTCCCTCCCGTTCTCCTACTGTGTGTCAGGTGACCTCCCCGTGTGTTAGGTGCCCTCTCGTGTGTGTCAGGTCCCTCTCGTGTGTGTCTCAGGTGTGTGTCAGGTCCCTTTCTCGTGTGTGTCTCTCAGGTGTGTGTCAGGTCCCTCTCGTGTGTGTCTCTCAGGTGTGTGTCAGGTCCCTCTCAGGTATGTGTGTCAGGTCCCTCTCGTGTGTCTCTCAGGTGTGTGTCAGGTACCTCTCGTGTGTGTCTCAGGTGTGTGTCAGGTCCCTCTCAGGTATGTGTGTCAGGTCCCTCTCGTGTGTCTCTCAGGTGTGTGTCAGGTACCTCTCGTGTGTGTCTCAGGTGTGTGTCAGGTCCCTCTCGTGTGTCTCAGGTGTGTGTCAGGTCCCTCTCGTGTGTGTCTCTCAGGTGTGTGTCAGGTCCCTCTCGTGTGTGTGTCAGGTCCCTCTCAGGTGTGTGTCAGGTCCCTCTCATGTGTGTCTCTCAGGTCCCTCTCAGGTGTGTGTCAGGTCCCTCTCTTGTGTGTCTCTCAGGTGTGTGTCAGGTCCCTCTTGTGTGTCTCAGGTGTGCGTCAGGTCCCTCTCGTGTGTGTGTCAGGTCCCTCTCTCCTGTGTGTTTCAGGTGTGTGTCAGGTCCCTCTCGTGTGTGTGTCTCAGGTGTGCGTCAGGTCCCTCTCAGGTGTGTGTCAGGTCCCTCTCGTGTGTCTCTCAGGTGTGTGTCAGGTCCTCTCGTGTGTTCTCAGGTGTGTGTCAGGTCCTCTGTGTGTTCAGGTGTGTGTCAGGTCCTCTCGTGTGTGTTTCAGGTGTGTGTCAGGTCCCTCTCGTGTGTGTGTCTCAGGTGTGTGTCAGGTCCTCTCATGTGTGTTCTCAGGTGTGTGTCAGGTCCCTCTCTTGTGTGTCTCTCAGGTGTGTGTCAGGTCTCTTGTGTGTTTCAGGTGTGTGTCAGGTCCCTCTCGTGTGTGTGTCAGGTCCCTCTCGTGTGTGTTTCAGGTGTGTGTCAGGTCCCTCTCGTGTGTGTTTCAGGTGTGTGTCAGGTCCCTCTCGTGTGTGTGTCAGGTCCCTCTCGTGTGTGTTTCAGGTGTGTGTCAGGTCCCTCTCGTGTGTGTTTCAGGTGTGTGTCAGGTCCCTCTCGTGTGTGTTTCAGGTGTCTGTCAGGTCCCTCTCGTGTGTGTTTCAGGTGTGTGTCAGGTCCCTCTCGTGTGTATGTCAGTTCCCTCTCGTGTGTGTTTCAGGTGTGTGTCAGGTCCCTCTCGTGTGTGTGTCAGGTCCCTCTCGTGTGTGTGTCAGGTCCCTCTCGTGTGTGTTTCAGGTGTGTGTCAGGTCCTCTCGTGTGTGTGTCAGGTCCCTCGTGTGTGTTTCAGGTGTGTGTCAGGTCCCTCTCGTGTGTGTGTGTCAGGTCCTCTCGTGTGTGTGTCAGGTCCTCACGTGTGTGTTTCAGGTGTGTGTCAGGTCCCTCTCGTGTGTGTGTCAGGTCCCTCTGTGTGTGTGTCAGGTCCCTCTCGTGTGTGTCAGGTCCCTCTCGTGTGTCAGTGTGTGTCAGGTCCCTCTCGTGTGTGTTTCAGGTGTGTGTCAGGTCCCCTCGTGTGTGTTTCAGGTGTGTGTCAGGTCCCTCTCGTGTGTGTGTCAGGTCCCTCACGTGTGTGTTTCAGGTGTGTGTCAGGTCCCTCTGTGTGTGTGTGTCAGGTCCCTCTCGTGTGTGTGTCTCGTGTGTGTGTCAGGTCCTCTCGTGTGTGTTTCAGGTGTGTGTCAGGTCCCTCTCGTGTGTGTTTCAGGTGTGTGTCAGGTCCCTCTCGTGTGTGTTTCAGGTGTGTGTCAGGTCCCTCTCGTGTGTGTGTCAGGTCCCTCACGTGTGTGTTTCAGGTGTGTGTCAGGTCCCTCTCGTGTGTGTTGTCAGGTCCCTCTCGTGTGTGGTGTCAGGTCCCTCTCGTGTGTGTTTCAGTGTGTGTGTCAGGTCCTCTCTGTGTGTGTGTTCAGGTCCCTCTCGTGTGTGTGTCAGGTCCTCTCGTGTGTGTGTTTCAGGTGTGTGTCAGGTCCCTCTCGTGTGTGTGTCAGGTCCCTCTCGTGTGTGTCAGGTCCTTCGTGTGTGTGTCAGGTCCTCTCGTGTGTGTTTCAGGTGTGTGTCAGGTCCCTCTCGTGTGTGTGTTTCAGGTGTGTTGTCAGGTCCCTCTCGTGTGTGTTTCAGGTGTGTGTCAGGTCCCTCTCTGTGTGTTTGTGTGTGTCAGGTCCCTCTCGTGTGTGTTTCAGGTGTGTGTCAGGTCCCTCTCGTGTGTGTGTCAGGTCCCTCTCGTGTGTGTTTCAGGTGTGTGTCAGGTCCCTCTCGTGTGTGTTTCAGGTGTGTGTCAGGTCCCTCTCGTGTGTGTTTCAGGTCCCTCTCGTGTGTGTCAGGTGTGTGTCAGGTCCCTCTCGTGTGTGTGTGTCAGGTCCCTCTCGTGTGTGTTTCAGGTGTGTGTCAGGTCCCTCTCGTGTGTGTGTTTCAGGTGTGTGTCAGGTCCTCTTGTGTGTGTTCAGGTGTGTGTCAGGTCCCTCTCGTGTGTGTGTTCAGTGTGTGTGTCAGGTCCCTCTCGTGTGTGTTTCAGGTGTGTGTCAGGTCCTCTCGTGTGTGTGTCAGGTCCCTCTCTTGTGTGTGTTTCAGGTGTGTGTCAGGTCTCGTGTGTGTTTCAGGTGTGTGTCAGGTCTCGTGTGTGTGTTTCAGGTGTGTGTCAGGTCCCTCTCGTGTGTGTGTCAGGTCCTCTCGTGTGTGTGTCAGGTCCTCTCGTGTGTGTGTCAGGTCCTTCTCGTGTGTGTGTCAGGTCCCTCTCGTGTGTGTGTCAGGTCCCTCTCGTGTGTGTTTCAGGTGTGTGTCAGGTCCCTCTCGTGTGTGTGTCAGGTCCTTCTCGTGTGTGTGTCAGGTCCCTCTCGTGTGTGTGTCAGGTCCTTCTCATGTGTGTGTCAGGTCCCTCTCGTGTTGTGTCAGGTCCCTCTCGTGTGTGTTTCAGTGTGTGTGTCAGGTCCCTCTCGTGTGTGTTTCAGTGTGTGTGTCAGGTCCCCTCTCGTGTGTGTGTCAGGTCCCTCTCGTGTGTGTGTCAGGTCCTCTCGTGTGTGTTTCAGGTGTGTGTCAGGTCCCTCTCGTGTGTGTGTCAGGTCCTCTCGTGTGTGTGTCAGGTCCCTCTCGTGTGTGTGTCAGGTCCTTCTCATGTGTGTGTCAGTCCCTCTCGTGTGTGTGTCAGGTCCCTCTCGTGTGTCAGGTCGTGTGTGTCAGGTCCCTCTCGTGTGTGTTTCAGGTGTGTGTCAGGTCCCTCTCGTGTGTGTTTCAGGTGTGTGTCAGGTCCCTCTCGTGTGTGTGTCAGGTCCCTCTCGTGTGTGTTTCAGGTGTGTGTCAGGTCCCTCTCGTGTGTGTTTCAGGTGTGTGTCAGGTCCCTCTCGTGTGTGTGTCAGGTCCCTCTCGTGTGTGTGTCAGGTCCTTCTCATGTGTGTGTCAGGTCCCTCTCATGTGTGTGTCAGGTCCCTCTCGTGTGTGTCAGGTGTGTGTGTCAGGTCCCTCTCGTGTGTGTGTCAGGTCTCTGTGTGTGTTTCAGGTGTGTGTCAGGTCCCTCTCGTGTGTGTGTCAGGTCCTTCTCGTGTGTGTGTCAGGTCCCTCTCGTGTGTGTGTCAGGTCCTTCTCATGTGTGTGTCAGGTCCCTCTCGTGTGTGTGTCAGGTCCCTCTCGTGTGTGTTTCAGGTGTGTGTCAGGTCCCTCTCGTGTGTGTCAGGTGTGTCAGGTCCCTCTCGTGTGTGTTTCAGGTGTGTGTCAGGTCCCTCTCATGTGTGTGTCAGGTCCCTCTCGTGTGTGTGTCAGGTCCCTCTCGTGTGTGTTTCAGGTGTGTGCTGCTCTTCAGACCTCCGCGTTTGTCCAATAAATTTGAGGAGAACGTCGTGGTTTTCTCCGACCACCTGAGCATCACCTCCCTGAGACGCTTCATCAGAGACAACATGTGAGTCCAGCTTTAGTCTGGATTTAGTCCTGGTTTAGTCCTGGTTTAGTCTGGATTTAGTCCTGGTTTAGTCTGGGTTTAGTCCTGGTTTAGTCTGGGTTTAGTCCGGGTTTTGTTGCTGTAGATTTCTTCTTCTTGTGTGTTTGTAGATTTGGTCTCACCTGTTCTTCACCTGTTCTTCATCTGTTCCTCACCTGTTCCTCACCTGTTCTTCACCTGTTCTTCACCTGTTTCTGTTCTTCATCTGTTCCTCACCTGTTCCTCACCTGTTCTTCATCTGTTCCTCACCTGTTCCTCACCTGTTCTTCACCTGTTCCTCACCTGTTCCTCTGTTTCACCTGTTCTTCATCTGTTCCTCACCTGTTCCCTTCACCTGTTCCTCACCTGTTCTTCACCTGTTCCTCACCTGTTCTTCACCTGTTCCTCACCTGTTCCTCACCTGTTCCTCACCTGTTCTTCACCTGTTCCTCACCTGTTCTTCACCTGTTCTTCATCTGTTCCTCACCTGTTCTTCACCTGTTCTTCATCTGTTCCTCACCTGTTCTTCTCGTGTTCCGTAGTTTTGGTCTGGTTCCTCACATGACGCTGGAGAACGTGGAGCGTCTGCGAGTGAAGGACTTACTCACGGTTTACTACGACCTCGACTACGTCCACAACGTCCGCGGCTCCAACTACTGGAGGAACAGGTGAACTGCAGGGGGAATGTCCCGCACTGGGGCTTTAACCCTGCTCTAAACCCCGCCCCCTCTGTGTTCTGTGCTTTGATAGGCTGATGCTGCTCTAAACCCCGCCCCCTCTGTGTTCTGTGCTCTGATAGGGTGATGCTGGTGGCGTCGAAGTTCCGTGGGCGGGGCCTGAGCTTCTCCGTGGCCAATCGGAGAGACTTTGAAGCGGAGCTTCGGGAGGAGTTTGGTTTGGGTCCAGACCCCGGACTTCCTGTGGCCACGATCCGGACCAGACTGGGACTCAAGTACACCATGAGGGAGGAGTTTACGTAAGTACTACAAATACTACTACTACAAATACTACTACTAGTACTACAACTACTACTTCATGTACTCCAGTGCTGTGTGTGTTTCAGGAGGGACGGTCGCTCTCTGGAGCGTTTTCTTCAGGATTATTTTTCAGGGCGACTCAAACGTTTCATCAAATCAGAACCCGTCCCCGAGAAGAACCCAGGACCTGTCAAGGTACTGACCCCCCCTCACACAACTACCCCCCCACACACACACACATATACACACAGATACACACACACACACACCATCTACCCCCCCGATCTCCTGCACATGTTCAACACAGTTTGTGTTTGGAACATCCTTTACACATTAGTTCTGAAATTTTCCTGTTTTCCTGGAGTCACAGAGCAGGAACTATGAAAGTCCGACTATTGCTCCTCCCCCCGCCGTCCTGACAAAGCACAGGCTCCGCCCTCCAAACGTGACATAGGCGACGAGTGAGCTGCCCTTCCTCCGCCGTCTCAGGGAGGGAGGGACACAAACTTGAATCTTATAATAATGTTTCATCAAACGAAGTGTTCATGATGTGAACAGACGAACACTAAACATCAGAGTCGTCATGACTCATTTTGTTCTCGTGCAGAAACATTGAAGAAAAACTCAGTAGAATAAAACGATGCTCTGAGTCTGTTGTTAGTATCAGTGTGAAATCGTTTGTCAAACTAAAACAGGTGGAACAAGAGACAAGACGCAGATTGAAATGATCCTGGTGGGAATTCAGGGTTACACCTCAGAGCGAAATACCTGTGTGGAAGAACCCCCATGTGTGTAAATATCCGTGTGTGTAAGAACCCCCATGTGTGTAAATACCCGTGTGTGTAAGTACCTGTGTGTGTAAGAACCCCCATGTGTGTAAATACCCGTGTGTGTAAGTACCTGTGTGTGGAAGAACCCCCATGTGTGTAAATACCCGTGTGTGTAAGAACCCCCGTGTGTATAAATACTCGTGTGTGTAAGTACCTGTGTGTGTAAATACCCGTGTGTGTGTAAGTACCCGTGTGTGTGTGTAAGGACCTGTGTGTGTTGTGTCCTCAGGTGGCGGTGGCAGAGTCGTTGTGTGTGTATGTACCTGTGTGTGTGTGTGTAAGGACCTGTGTGTGTTGTGTCCTCAGGTGGCGGTGGCAGAGTCGTTGTGTGTGTATGTACCTGTGTGTGTGTGTGTAAGGACCTGTGTGTGTTGTGTCCTCAGGTGGCGGTGGCAGAGTCGTTTGCTGACCTGGTGTTGGATCCTCACACTGACGCTCTGATTCTGTTTTACTCTCCTCTGTGTCAATACTGCAAAAAACTAGAACCTGTGTACAACGAGCTCGCACTGCAGGTACAGTACTACAAATACTACAAATACTACAAATACTAGAGTACTCGAGTACTGCAGTAGTCCAGGTGTAAAAGTAGAACATGTCAGGTGTTTGTGTGAAACTTCAGATTTGACAGAATCAACAGAAACTTCAAACTTTCACATTCAACACTTTGTCTATTTAACTCTGAAACTTCGGACACTTTTGGACGACGTGTGTCCTGTGTCTGAGACACACACGATTGGACGACTGCGTTTGAACGACTGCGTTTGAACGACTGCGTTTGAACGACTGCGGTTGGACGATTTGTTTGGACGACTGTGTTTGGACGTCTCAGGTTTGGACGTTCGGGTCCAGACTCTGTGAATCTGGTTCCTCAGACAAAATCCTGAAGATCAGACCTAAAACACGTCTCTCTGTCCTCTCTTTACTCTAAACTGTCCTCTGTCCTCACAGTTGTCCTCTGTGTCTTCTGTCCTCACAGTTGTCCTCTGTGTCTTCTGTCCTCACAGTTGTCCTCACACCCAGATTTGGTGGTGGTTAAAATGAACGCCGTGGACAACGACGTCCCTCTGGGCTTCGATGTGCAGGGGTGAGTCTGACACTGTCTCCTCTGTCCTCTGTCCTCGTCCTCTGTCTCTCTGTCCTCTGTCCTCTGTCCTCTGTCCTCTGTCCTCTGTCCTCTGTCCTCTGT